GGGGCAGTACCCAACCTAAAGCATACACCCTTATCTCGTCAGCACTTCTGGGGGTTGTATTCAAGATACATCTCGCATGGACATTTGGGCTTTCTCGAAAATGGTCAGGCTTCGGGGACACTACCAAGGGTATCACGGCGGTCCATACTCAGGATTGCACAGGGAATGTTACGCGCGATTTCCACATCTAGAGAGTACCGTGGGAGTAGGGAAAATGTCACAATGAACAACATTTTCCTGAAAAAAAGTCTATAGAACCCTTCCATTCTTATATAAACCCTGGATAAGCCTTGATATAAACCCTATGCAACCCCTAGGAAGGTACCACCATCAAATTCGTGATCACCCCTAAAGGCCTTGTATGAACCTGGTGTCCTAGGGTCGTTTCGGGTTTGTATTGGGATTAGATTGGGGTTATGTTAAGGTCATATTGGGNNAAGGTCATATTGGGATTATATTGGGGGTATGTTAGGGTTGTATTGGGGTTATATTTCATTTTCCAAATTCTTTTCCATTTGATTCTCCATTATAGGGGGTAATTTGCCTGAACCCTAAACCCTGATATCCCTATTTGCCCTAAACCCTTAAAAATTGATAATTGTTTCGGCTGCTACAGTTAGGTGTGCGGACTAGGTGGATGTTGTGTTGAGATTGTAGGAGCTGTGCCTTGGAGGCTACACTCCCACTTATTCACACTCCTGGAAACTAACATGGAAACCCAAAAGGGGCCCTATAAAGACTACAGTCCCTCTAAAATGGGGCTATATGGGTTTCCATGTTAGTTTCGGGGAGTGTAGGGTTTAGAGTTTAGAGTCTAGGTAGAATACGGCGTATATGGGGCGCTTATTATAATATACCCAACGCCATATCAAATCTACTTAAGGGGGACTATACATTGGCTTCATGGTTCTGCTACCGATTCGCAATCAGGCCAGAGTTGTCTGACTTCTTAGAGGTTCAGGGTTTAGGGTCCAGGGTCTTAGTGAAGTCTTCTTCAATTCTTAAAACCCCTAAAAACCCACACTCCCAATCCTAAGCCTAAGGTCTTAAACCCGGAATTCTACACCATAAAGATCCTAAATCCACAGCCCCAAATCCATTACATTATTTATAGACTCAACGACTTTAACTTCAAAGCTTTGATTCGGCAGAGGTGACAATGTCGTTATTGTCGAATTGGAAGGAGCCGGAGGCAGGGCGCTCAAATATTGCTTTGTTGTTTGTGGCTGTTTTCTCACCGTCTACAACAGGGTTGCAGTGTTTCCATGTTGTTGCTTTTCCCCTTTGGGTTTTCTAAATGTAGCTTATCCCACGGGATTGGAGTTGTCTCCCTTCTTGTTAGGTGGTTGTAGTGTACTTCCCCAAGACTGCGGAGATTAATTTGAGAAACCTGAAATGAGCTTTTGTCTAGCAATCCCCGACGAAGAAGATTTCCGGCGAGCAATAGGTCTGCGAGGTAAGGAACCTAAGATAAAGAACTTAGCTCAGAACTGACTGGCCTCAGTAAAAGGAGTGTGAAGGCTGAACGTACGTTACGCATTTCAGAGATGTGCTGCAGAAGGACATAAGATCTCGTTTTTCCGTTTTTTCAACACAGTTTCAACACCGAGCGTTGACATGGCGTGTCAAAGCTCAATGCAGGCATGTCATTACTGGGTTGCTGTTAAGGAACTTGAATTAAGATACTATATTGGGAAAACCCTATTATTTACTACATATATATATATCCATTATGGTAACCCTAGACCCTAAACCCTATATAACCCCATTATAGTAGTTTCCATTTTCTTTTCCATTATCCCATTATATACCCCAATATATATACCCTATAATCCCTATATAACCCCTATAATCCCTATAGTTTCCATTTTCTTTTCCATTATCCCATTATATACCCCAACTTAACAGCAACCCAGATTATGCATCCCTTGCAGGCAAAGCTGCTCCCAAGGAGTTTGCCTTCGATTATGTCATGGATAGCACAGACCCCAAAGGCAAGTCCTTTGTGGGCCAGGAGAAGTGCTATCAACTCATGGCGGGGAAGATGATTGATCATGCCTTCAATGGGTATCTGTGCTGGCATTAATGCAGGTCGACTTGTTGATTAGAGGCTCAGAGGGACGAATGCGCAGCAAACATGATTTTTTGGGCATTATGGCAACACTGACCCAGGTACAGTACCTGCCTGTTTTGCTACGGTCAAACTGGTACCGGCAAGACCTTCACAATCATGGGCAATCAGAATCCGCAATCTGAGCAAGGCTTGTTGTTGCGCTTCATGTCCGACGCTGGATCAAAATGGTAGTTTCCCTACATAGGGGACTCCCAATATAGTCCCCAACATGCGATAGTCCTTATATTGGGGACCCCCGAAGATGGACGCTTGATTTCGGAACCCCATAAGTGAGTAACGTCTTGTGCATGCTGAAGAATGGAAGGCTGCATCAGACATGCTTCTTTGTGTGAAGATGAATGATGCGAATGATGAAAACTCACCTTGGCATAGGAAAGTAAAACAACTCGTAAGTCGTAAGTGGGGTCATTCCCCCTTACAGTAACTGTTACCACAATGGGTTATAGGAGTTATAAGAACCCCCTTAATAAGGCCCCTTTAAGGACACTTACTGGGAGGGGGAATGACCCAAGTTGTAAGGTATTTACATCGGCTCGTTCAGTTTTTTTGTATCAACCGTGCGGCAACCATGATCCAGGACATGTACCGGCAAGTGGATGCACTCCTTGAGAAAGAAGGTTGCCAAATCCAGTGCCGTGTGCAGATCGTGGAGGTCTACAACGAGAAGGTCAGAGACCTTCTGAACGAGAGCAGTCCCCAGAATCCGGAGGTCCATGTGCATCCGAAACTGGGCGTCTACCTCAAACACACATTGGATCTGCCAGCAACTGGGTTGCTGTTAAGGAACTTAAATTAAGTTACCATAATGAGTATATATCGTAATTAATAGGGTTTCCCCAATATAGTAACTTAATTTAAGTTCCTTAACAGCAACCCAGGCAAATTCTCTGGAGGCTTGCCTCTCTCTCATAGAGGAAGCCAGGAGTCGGCAAAGCTTCGCCGCAACTGCCATGAACTCGAAGTCCTCCCGCGGCCACACAGTCTACAAGCTGAGCCTGGGTCGCTGTTAAGGAGCTTAAATTAAGTTACCATACTGGGTATATATAGTAAATAATAGGGTTTCCCAGATATAGTAACTTTATTTTAAGTTTCTTAACGGCAACCCAGGAGCCTGGAAAAGCATGGTGGCAGCGACAACACCGTGCTTACCTCCGAGGTCTACTTTGTGGACTTGGCTGGCCGGGAGAACGAGCGTACAACCAAAGTCAAAGGAGAGCGGCTAGTAGAGTTGAGCTTCATCAATCGAAGCTTAATGTGGCTCTCGCAATGCATCCACGCATTGGGCAATGCGGAGCCCTCCAAACGGCGGCAGTCCCTGGGCGAAGCTGATCAGCTCAGTCCAAAGGAGAAGCTGAACGGCGACGCTGCAGGTCGGCGACAGAGCCTTCTTGATACTGGGTTGCTGTTAAGGAACTTTAATTAAGTTATCATAATGGGTATAATATAGTAATTAATAGGGTTTCCCCAATATTGTAACCTAATTTAAGTTCCTTAACAGCAACCCAGGATAAGAAGGTGAAGGGGGACCGGCGTCCCACTGACGTAAGTAGAGAACGTGCAAGCACGATCTCTGAGGACTCCGATGCCACACCTCACCACAAAAACAAGACCCTGAACGGCAAGGGCGTGGATGCAAAAATGGCAAGATTCCGAAACTCCAAGCTGACCTTGCTCCTCGCAAACGCTCTCAATGGAAACTCCAAAACTTCCGTTATCTGCACCCTAAGCCCGGCCCAGCAGAATGCGGATGAAAGTCTGACGACTCTCAACTTTGCGACCAGCCTGAAGCATGTAAAGGTTCAGGCTCGGGCTGCAACCTTCGTTGACAAGGACGCCCTCATCAGCGGCCTGCAGAGAGAGGTGCAAGGGCTGCGTGAGCGGCTATCCTCAGAAGCCGCTCCTGGCTTGGAAGAGCTCAAAAGCGAATTGGAGGTTGCCAATGGGATGCTGGAGAAGTACCGTGAGTCTTGGCAGGAGAAGATTGAGGAGAACGAGAAGCTGCGAGAGCAGCGAAATAACGCCCTGCGCAAGCTGGGGGTAGCTAGGTTTCGTATGGCGGTGAGATCGCTGTCTCCGGGGGACATCGCGGAGCCCAGCTCGCGCCAGTCAAGTAAGAGCCCGCACATGCGGTCAGAGAACATGCGGCTGGAATGGCCTGATGACTGCCCGCATCTCGCAAGCTACTCTGATGATCCTCAAATCAATGGGCGCTTTTGCTTTGCCCTTTCAGAGATTGGCTTTGAGTATCTGGGCTGCTGCTCAGATCTCTGGTACAGGTTCAGTTGGAGTTGGAAGTTCATTCCCAGAGTTTGCTTTAATTTCAACTCAGGTACTGCATGGGCTCCTCATCCACCTGTCATTTCATCCTGCCACAGAGGGCGGGCATCGCCCCTAGATGCTGCTTTGTATGGCTGGATGAGGCTGGGCCAGAAAGCGGTAGAATTTTACGTCTTTGTTTCTGCTGAAGCACCATAAGAACCATAGATGAGCTTAGTCATAAGCCCTACACTCCAAGTCGTAAACCCTTAACCCCAAAGCATGCCCAAGTGCGGTGCTTGGAGGAATTCCTGCACCACTTTGCACCCTGTACAATCCCTCCCACCGCAACTTCTGCTAAGGTCTAGCTCTGGAGTTCTCCCAACCCAAGCATTGAAGCCTGATGCGCCAACCCTCAAACCCAGGCCCCTGATCCCTGAGCCCTGACCGAAATTACTAAACCCTAGACCCAATCCCCAAGCCCTAAAACCTGAATCCCTTAAGCCCCATCCCAGGAACCTACCCTCCCGAATTCCTCTACCCTACATCCTAAACCCTGATTCCTAGATTGGAAAATCCCCAAACCATAAGTCCTAAACCTGAGTTCCTCAACCCTGCACCCTCCCTAAGTCTGCCCTAAATCCTGACCCCTGATCCCTTCACCCCCTAAGCCCAAAACCCCGATCCCGATCCCTAAGCCCTGAACAAAATCCCAAACCCAGGAGGGCGGGTAAGCCTTAAGCCCGAAACCCCAATCCTTAAACCCTAAACCCCCTAAACCCTAAAACCCCAAACCCTAAACCCTTAAACCCTAAAAACCCAAACCCTAAATCCTTAAACCCTTAAAACCTAAAATGCCAAGCCTTCAAACCTGATCCCAGGAGGGCGGGATGTTTATTCGGCCGGTCTGCAGCGACTCTTCGCCTGTAGCCACTGTGGAGATCAACCACGCAAAGTTGGTCCGAGAGGAGGGTTATTGGGGTTATTAGGGTTATTAGGGTTTAGGGTTCTTAGGGTTATTAGGGTTATTAGGGTTATTAGGGTTTAGGGTTATTAGGGTTTAGGGTTTAGGGCTATTAGGGTTATTAGGGCTATTGGGGTTATTAGGGTTATTAGGGTTTAGGGTTTATATTGGGGTTATTAGGGTTATTAGGGTTATTGGGGTTATTAGGGTTATTAGGGTTATTAGGGTTATTGGGGTTATTGGGGTTATTAGGGTTATTATGGTTATTAGGGCTATTGGGGTTTAGGGTTATTAGGGTTATTAGGGTTATTAGGGTTATTAGGGTTTAGGGTTATTAGGGTTATTAGGGTTATTAGGGCTATTAGGGCTATTAGGGTTATTAGGGTTATTGG